ACCTTTCTATCAATTCATGTTTACATCCAGAAATTCTTGCTTTCATCATTCTTAATTCTTCTATTAATTGGGGGAGACTCCATAAACCATAATTAGACATTGTGATGAAAATAAAAAAATGGTTACAGAATAACTTGATAATTATGTGTACACCAGCAAATAGTGGGTAATTGTTAATGAAATAAATATTATATGTGTGCAGACTTGGTATAAATTACTGTAAACAAACGCCTTGGATTATCAGCAGGAAGCTGATAAGGACCGCATTAAGCTATGCGCCATCTGGATTGATGAGGAGATAAATCTGACTTTGGTTTCTCATTCTTCTTTACTAAATCATCTATCGAATCTGTAAAATTTCCGCCATTCTCTGTTTGATCTTTTAAAACAATTTGTATTGCATGGTTAATATGATGATACAACTGTTCATTGTGTTCTGTTTCCATTTTTATGAAGTCTTCACCATCCTGGTCAATCATGTCTGAAATGATAGACTTCAGTTTGTCATTCTCCTGTGTCTTTTCTCCTGGTTCCTCCTCAGTATGGTCAGTATCTCTTAAAAGTGGCTTCATTATCATTTCTGGTTTTAAATCTGGTTTACATTGCATATTTTCTTTGGGGAGTAATTGGACATATCCTTTGTTTGTACTAACAGATATCGCAACCTTATTTCGTGGCTTTATTGAATAGGTCTTGCCAATGACTTGTTCGTTATCAAAAACATTCATTAAATCACAGGCTGGTATTACTGGTAGTTGATTTCCTTGGTACTTCAGCAAATTTGCAATTGTCTTTTAATGACCTGAGGGATTTGTGTTACCAATCATATCAACAACTACTTTGCTCCCTGTGAATGCATATGCTGATATACTCATTAAAAAAGAAACTGGTGATATCAGTTTCTTATCACTTAAAGCATACAATTGCTCCAATGCACGTGAAACTAAAAAGAGATCAGAAGAAAATAACCTTTTAAGATCAATAGGAACGTGCAGGGACGTTAAGGGCGTTTCAAGAAATATCCCATTTTTATACACAGGAGAAATCATATTGAACTCAAAGTTAGTTTTCTTTGCTTAAAGGTTAAAATGCACGTCAAAAGCGTAAACAGAGGGAAAAGGGTCTATTCTGAATCACATTCCAAACTTTTATTTATAGAAAAATATAAATACACTAGTGTCACGTGACTTCAAACTGAAAGTAAGGACATTTCCTAAAAAATTCAAAAGGGCAGGTGCAAGATGAAATCCGATCGCCCTGGTTTTTGGCTCCCTGTAATCAGGAAAACTTATTTTACTGGAAAAGTGCTGTGCCTAGTTTTTTCTTTCTACCAATACCAGAATCAAGTGGGTTGGTATAGCTCTTGCACCTGCCCTTTTCAATTAATTTAGCATGAAGTACCATTATCGCCTTGAAATGCGAGAGAAAAACGTTTGAATGACCCTGGAGTAGTCGGATCGGCTGACGGAAAAACTCAGTGTATTTTTTGTACTCACCGTGAAGCGTTTCATATAATAATAACGTCATGTTGGAGCGAATAAACAAATATTCAAATATTCTCTTATTGCTTGCTTAATTTATTAAAGCTTCCTATTCAGTATTGGTTTTTTTCAGGGAATTTTCATAGTGACAGGCTGGACTTTCATAAAATAGAATATTTACTTCTTCTTGCATTCCGCCTCTTGTGTATATCACCGCAAATGGCTGAAATGGCAGAGACGGATTCATGTGGGCTCTGATCCCTTGTGTATCAACCAATTTATGGTTAATGTATACACTTATTATATGTCCATAACTTCGATTAGTGTTGGGACACGCAGCCCCCCCCCCCCCCCCCCCTTTTTTTTGTCAAAATCCGGAATCCGCATCTGGGTTCATAGTGCAGTTCTCATTTTTGCAAATGCAAGTTCATTGTATAATTAATAGTATACTATAAAGTCTCTTCTAGTGCTTGCATATTGGGAACCATTAAAATTTTAATGAAAAAAGTTGCATTTTCATACAGAACTTTATACCAAAATTCATTGGTTTGCTCTTTGTCATTGACAATGTTTAAATCATAAATATTAACTCCTACCTGCATATAAATATTTACATTTTACTAGATAAATATCTCCTGTATCTCAAGTGTGACTGGTATCAATTTGTAAATCATGATTGGGAGGTCTTTTTGAATTTTATTTTGGTGGGGTAGAGTAATTTTTTTGCCAATGAATGAATATGAATTTTCACCAGTTACCAGGCCAGTATTTTGTATGGCTTGCTTTTTTTTATAAAAAAAAGCTACAGCATTGAGTACCCCATACTTCAAAAAAATGTACCTTGAGCTCTCATTATTTATGCTTACACTATATCATAAAGCGATAACCAGTTCGACAAATATCGGATGCATATATATACACGACTAATTTTAATCGCATCTGTATAAAAAAACCCACATCCAATTAGTTTCAGATACATGCACATGTACCAATGATTCAATCAACAACCTTGTCATGTATATCATCTCAATTTCTCAAAGCCCCCCAAGGGTGACTGGGGAATAGAAATACGGTCACCATTGGTCTTCCTCCGACCGGCGGTAAAACCCTCGCTAAAGTGGGGCGTCCGTTTGGCTGTGCGGGATGTACAAGTTCGCAGTCACGTCCGGTCAGAATGGGGACGTTAAATCCGATGCCTCGTGTAAAGAGAGTGCCACGCTCTTTGCACGTTAAGAACCCTTGCAACAACTCTTTGAGGGGTCCGTAGGTGACCAGTTGCAAGGCTAAATTTCTGTCCCTATCCAATATACCCTCATTTCCCGTGGCAGTTTAAATTTCTCCGACCTTAATCCCGGAAGCCCCTATTACAGAACCTACCTATTGTATTTATTGTTAACTTGTTCTCGTCCTGAATATGCATGGAATATTTGCCACTGGACGTTAAGCAACCAACAATCAATCAATCAATTTCTCAACCTTATAGTTTATATTTAATTTTATACCATGAAGTTGGAAATAGTGACCTATTTTTTTCTGCTGCTCATTTCATATTAAATCCCTGCCTACCAGTGTTCACCAATACAAATGGACAGCCAAAAGTGCTTACATGACATTCAGCACAATCAATCAACTGTTTTTTCATTATCAAGTGCCATAATATTTTAAGGTTCATCTCAAACATGTCAAAATCAGAAAACTTATTTCCCATCACCTGCTGAGATTGGAGGCAACTGAATGGTATTTCTTTTCTGTCAGAATAAAAGAAATTCTATGTACCATATTTAATAAAAATACACAGAAATGACTAACTCAATCACAATTAATACATATATACACAATCCAAAAGTTTCAGGAAGTGTCAGGTGAATAATTTATGACATAGTGGACAGGACAAACTAGTCAGCATGGAAATTAAAATGATGTGTAAATGCTTATAAAACTACTGCCTACAAATATCATTGACAAGGGTACAATCAGTGGTTAATATTTACCTGAACCAGTCACAAGAGTAAAAAAAAAATTACTTAATTGTAAATCAAAACTTCATTGGCAATTATACCAGATCATCTTTTATTATATATCAAATTCTAGCTGTAATACAAAAATATGTGTGCAATTTCAAACTGAGAACAAAGCAATTTCTGTCTATTTTGGGGATGCTGTCTCATTGCCATACATGTATACCCAACATCTTTTGCTAAACATGCTAGATATAAGAATCTCTAAAACAGTAACTGTGAAAATATTCCATCACAAGTTTCCAAGTTTATATATCCTTCAAACATGTCAAAAAGACTCAGAATTTTCTGAGTAAATTTATTCCCAAGATAATTTCAATTATTGAACAATGTAAGGACAATTAAAAATGCGAGATTAATTATTGCAGTTTCAGAAAATCCTGGATACAAATAATACCATCATTTAAATAAATTTATATTTTTTTTTGCCAAACGTATACAATTGTATAACCTATTTTAATTTAGACAAGAAATGAAAAAAAATCTGATTTCTAAGTATAGACAAATATATAACATGTATAAGTATAGATAATATTTTTGTTCAAACATTCTGTGGCTGTTACAGAGGTCTTGCTCAGTATTGAAGGCCAACATCAATATGACTAAGTCACTTTAAGATGAACAACAACTGCAATTAAAACACTTTTTTATGCTTCTGAACTTATTGTATACCTTTATTTTGTGTTAACTGTTATGAAATGAAATGAAATTGAAATATAAATCATGATATAATATAATCTTCTTGTTCTCTGGTCATGCTGGTGGATAATATATAATATGACTATTTGTTCTCTGATGAAGAGTTGTTAATTTATTGGCAATCATATGTCATATTCTTAGTTTTATAATAACATGTAACTCCATTAGTGGTGCATCAGTGAATTGTATGCCTACATGTATATGATAGTATATCTCATGTATATCTAGGTAGGATTAATGTTTAAATCAATTACTATTTTTTCCCCGTAATTGCCATAAAAAAAAAAACACTCATACAAGTCTTATAAATGAATATCTCCTTCTTTACAGTTCAACTGAATATCATATGTCTATTTGTAGATCTCTCACTTGGTCAGATACAAATGTATTGCAGATTTTTCAAATATTTCATGAAAGAAACGACAAATTACATCCATGAAATATAATTTTGTTAAATGAAATCCTTTTTTGAAACTCCAATTGTAAGAAAATTCACAAATCTCCAAACTGTCCGTATTTAGTATTCATTTTAACTGAGGTAAAAGCTCTTTAAGATGGTAAACATCAACTTCAGTGATACATGATGATGAAAAAGAAGCTAAATTGTCTAGTTAATTTTCCTCTGTCTCTCAGCATCAAAACACTAAATTCCAATTCATTTGGTCTTGAAACAGTCAATGCTTCTGCTTAGTACATATATGTACATTATATAGAATTGCTGTCTTTTTTCTACTTTTCATGGACATATTTGGTGGCTTTCTAAACAAATTTTAATCAGATCTGCTGTAATAGCCATGATGATTTATAAGGAACTTTCTACTGCAGGTCATCATCCCTGAAATATGAAAAAGCAAATATAATATATTAAATGAAATTTTCAACATGTGAAAAGTAATCAAAAGTTAGTGCAAACATATTTCTTCAAGAAGTTACTGTTAAAATGCTAACAAAATAATTTCCTTGTCCTTATTTAATAATGAAATTGAAAATGGAAATGGGGAATGTGTCAAAGAGACAACAACCCGACCATAGAGCAGACAACAGCTGAAGGCCACCAATGGGTCTTCAATGCAGCTAGAAACTCCTGCACCCGGAGGCGTCCTTCAGCTGGCCCCTAAACAAATATGTATACTAGTTCAGTGATAATGGACGTCATACTAAACTCCAAATTATACACAAGAAACTAAAATTAAAAATGATACAAGACTAACAAAGGCCAGAGGCTCCTGACTTGGGACAGGCGCAAAAAATGCGGCGGGGTTAAACATGTTTTTTGAGATCTCAACCCTCCCCCTATACCTCTACTGCCAATTTGGAAAAATAAACGTACAACAATAATGTCTTCATTCATCATTTGAACAAGGATTTAATTTTCTACACACATTTTAATAAGGTGCACTACATGTACTTTATAAAACTTCAAGTTAAATGAAAAATAAACTGTTATCACATAGATATGTCTGGCCTTTTTGTAATTTTGATAATGCAAATGTTGAAATTAAAATAGCAATACTTTAACATGTAAGTTATGCAAATATTCAAAGTCGATGAACCATGACTGAAGGTACATGGCTAAACAATCTCCATGGAATGAGATGTGCCAATGCTAATACAACTGCATACCAAATATCATTGACCTACCACCATGAACTAGACCTAATCACAAACCAATACATTGTTGACGCCGCCGTCGCCAGCATACCTATGTCTCGCTTTTTGACTCCGTCAAGGCGAGACAGAAACCCAGATGTGCCTATAAGATGTATTCTGTAATTAATATTCAAATTGATGTATTTATGTTAATTTACTTTGTTTTGTATCTCCTTTTAAGACAGGAATACTTCAATATCAATATCAGTAATCCACAGCTAAAACAATTTTGCTAGCAAGTTCAGTATATTATTGTATTAATATCTGTCATGTCTGTGTAAATAAATTTTGTTGCTGGTACAGATACTTCATTAACATTGATTAAATTAAGAAATTATCATGATTATTGGGTACATTTATTTTTGCAATTTCTGAAGAATGGACAAAAATGTGAGATTTATAATTGCGATTTCAGAAAAATCTGCATACTTGTACAGTTATATGTATAGATTCCGGAATGTGAGTTCCTTTTATTGCGATATTCAAAGTTGCCTCATAAAAACATTGCAATAATTTCTGAGTTTACATCATACAATATTCTTACAATGTACATGATGTAAGAACAGAAATTTATTTGCACAAATTATAAAACAGGAAGAAAAGCCAGGCTCGCTAACATGTTTAACCCATCCACATTCTGTATGTACAATGTATGTTCCTGGAATTCAGTGGTTGTCGTTTGTTGCTGTGTTACATATTTCTTTTTCATTCATTTTTGATTACATAAATTAGACCATTAATTTTCTCCTTTGAAATGTTTTACATTTGTGATTTTGGGGCCTTTAATAGCCAAATATGCAGAATGGGCTTTACTCATTGTAGAAGGCCATTCAAAGACCCATAGTTGTTAATGTCTGTGTCATTTGGACTCTTGGGGAGAGTTGTCTCATTGTACAATAGTTAGCTGATATCAGGATAAAACAATTTACCTGTCTATAATAATAAAGCTCTCCAAATCAAACCATTACTTTATTTCATCAAAGCTGGAATGGCATACTGTATCTTGTAATTGACAGGGGAGCTAAAAAAAAAAAATAAGAGAAAGTAATTATTTAATTACATAAAGGTACTTTATTTAAAATAAGGAGCATAAACATATGTATAATGATTCATATAATTTTTAAAATAAAGAAATTACGTCTGCCACACAACCCTAATTTGATATCAGGATTTCCTCCATAGATATATAAATGCCTATTTTTTCTTGGATTTCTAGAATTGCTGCATCCTATGCTAAATAAAGAGCTGTGCTAAAAAAAAAGCCAGCCCCCACCCCCCCCCCCAAAAAAAAATCTAAAACAAAAAAGTGAATCTGTGAGCTACTAATATACCCCCATACCCTTAAAGTAAAAGGTTGTTGAGTGATGAATCTGAAAAAGCATCACACGGTACATCACACGGTATAGCTGACACATATAAACCCTGATGGCCTGAAACCAAATTTCAGAAATCCTTGTAATGTTCCTGAGAAAGATGCAAAGAAAAATATTCATGGGACAGACGGACGGACTGACTTGAGGATGTACAGACAGAAGTAAAACAGTATACCCACCAACACTTTTTAAAGACTAAAAGTGGGGTATAAAAATTAAAAAAAACCAAACTTGTGCACAGTGGCACAATTCATGAATAATTCTTATGAATACAATCCAATAACTGGAATAAGTAAAATTTAAAATATATTAAAAATCGTAAGGGAGCTTACGTTACATTTCAGCAAGTTTCATGAAAATGTGTTTAAGCGTTTTTGAGACATTGTCCAAAAAACGCGATAATTTCGACCCGTTAATATGAATAAAGTCCCTATACTCCAAAACCAGGTATCAAAAATATCTAATAGAAATGGAAAGGAAACTTATGTCAATAAATTTAAACAATTCACCAAAGTTTCATGAAGATTGGTGAAAGCTGTTTTGAGTAATCATCTGAATGATTCATCAGCAAGGCATTGCCCCAAATAAAAATACATTTCTTTCAAATATGTGTGATAGCTGTTATTTAATTTATGATTATCAATTTTTGTTTAATTTGTGTTCATGGTGTCTGGTTCATTTTAACCGTTACGCTAGTTGGTCCATAACACTTGTACATGTCGTAATTTTTTTTCTCAGCAGTTGGTGGTAGACTTACTTTAAGAGCAATAAGAATATAAGACCCCCCTTAATCTATGGGTTCCTACAGAGCTGTGGCCTTTTCCTTTTATAAATTGATTATGTGATTTGCGTACTTTAGTGATTCCACAAACTGGTCTGTTGTCACAGAATAAACGACTTTATTACAAATGGGGCTTTTTTCTGCCTCTCTGACTAGTGCTCTCCCAAAGAAAATTTTATAAATGGGTCCCTTCTGTTTACCGGGGATATATCTTCGAGTAATGGATTTAATTCCTGCCAACAGGGATACAGTTCAGATATTTTATGTAATACTCTATTTTTAGAACGATGATGCATGCAGTGTTCTATTCAATTTAAATACTGTTTTACTTATATATATATATATATGTAGGACTCTAAAGTGAGATGGGGACGCTGAAACGCGATGGTCACGCTAAAGTGAGATGGTTTGATACGCTAAAGTGCGATAGTCTGTGCCATTTAATGGAACACGCTATAGACTGATGCCGCGATACGCTAAAGTGCGTTTGTTCGCGAAAGTATTGACGTTTGCAACGTTAAATCGCATTATGACGCTACAAGCCGTTTGTACAAACAAATGCTGTGTCGGCGGGGACAAACATGATTCTGTCAGTATACTGGAAAAAAAAATACTTTCATAAACATAGACTGAAACTGACATTAGTAAGGGGAAGGTGTATATCATAAAAGAGAGAGAAAATGGCAAAATACACCAAGTGTCAAAGTATTTAATTCGTCCCATGTCATTTACTGGAAAAGCATATAGCTCTTCAACTGTTTCAGTACTTATACATCCTCGGATTTCAAATGTTTGGCATTGAGCATTCCTGATGAAGGTAAATCCAGAAAAGTGCTTCGGACGCATGAAATTATTAAACTTTTGTTTTCTATTTTTTACTTGCGTGAAATAAAAGCTACTTTTTAACTTTCTAATTGAATTATTTTGTCAAAACAATTTTTTAAAATATGGTTCGTCATGTCTGTAAAAGAGATGGATACTCGTCAACAAGACAGTAACATAACGACCAGAGGTGTAGTATCATAATATGATTGCCAATGCGACAAGTCGCTATCCAATGCTAATGTCATTAATGTAATTAACTATAGAATACCGTATGGCTAACCCTGCAGATAGTATTCTATAACGACCAAAGAGTATCAAAACGACCAGTGTATAACAATTCAAACGAGAAAGATAACGGACTGATTAATATACAAAATAAACAATAAACAAAAAAACAGATAAGAAGATGTGGTGTAATTGTCAACGAACAAATATCCACCAAACACCAAATATCGTTGATGTATGCACCTGTTAACGTTATGACCTTCAATGTGGAGCCTTGGCTTACGTCGCATAGAAAGCTATACAGGATCACGAAATGACTTGTGTAAAACAATTCAAAAGAGAATAACGACATGATTTAGAAACAATACAATAAACGAAAAACTAATATGAACACAGCAAAAAACAAAAACCATCGCCTGAATCCCATTCCTGTTACACCATCGCACTTTAGCGTGTCATCTGATCGCACTTTAGCGTAGATCATTGCACTTTAGCGTGACCATCGCACTTTAAGATATAAGACATATATATAAAAAGATTATGTCAAAGTGGGCAGTCTTGATGAGCAAACTACATATTAATTTGTATAATATTATTGTGTCATGAAAAGCTTCTTCAATTTTTTGCTGCGATTCCTTCCTAATAATGACGGTCATAGGAACATGAGGAAGGCGTCCCAGTTAATCATTCACAAAGCCTTTCAAGAAATTATAATATTATTTTGACTATGTATTAAAAATTGTTCTATTTAGCCAGCAATTTAAGTACATAAACTTGCAATTGGTTATATATATATTTCTGACTTGGTAATGATTTAAAAAATACTGGTTCACAGATAATAAGATAATTTATTCAAGGTGCACAGGCTTTTTCCAGAGAAAGACGCACTGTCCAGGATATTTCCAAATAATTACCCAGATACTCAGCCTTCTGTAGTCATTTTTAATGGACATAAAGATGTAATCATGTTGCTGTCACCTTTTAACTTCCTCAAAAGCTTAAGTTGCATCCGATTTCAAAAAATTATTATTTATAGTACATTTAAATTTGAATTGAAGTTCTTTATCACATACATGAACCATAAATATTCAATAGAATTGTAAAACTTTTTTGACAAGCATGAGAAATAAATTGTACAACAGGAAACATGGAAATAAATAAGGGGAAACATGTAGCACGCACATCGAACAAAACACGAGATACATGTATTGAGAGGTCAAACGTCAAAACACGAAAACAAGTGAAATAAAATATAAACACTGGGTAAATAGAAAACATTGCATAAAATTAACCCTTTACCGCCCTTTTAAAATAAAAGTTGATTTATACCAACAGCACTAAGCAGAAAATAATATAGTATGGACTTCACACTGATTAAATGGTGGGAGTAGAAATTGGAAAGAGGGGGGAGGTAGTCCAAATAATTATGACGTCTTGCAAGGTTTCCTTTTGAGCAAGTTTGTGTGCCCTGTGTTACAAATTAAGAGCTCCATGCTTTGAAAGTATGGTTCATGGCTCCAGCAATGTGGGTGCCGGAGAGAGGTGAACGGTGGAACGCCCCCCCCCCCCCCCCCCTTTTCCCCGAATGGCTAAACGAAAATTAGAAACTATTAAATTTCAGGATAAATGTTGAGAATGGGCTCTCGGTATAATGGAGGGATCTTGTTTCATTCGATATTCTGTTCATTTATTGACGGGATTCGATAAATTATTCAAATTTCAGATATCTGTTGCAGTCTAGTTTCGTTTTGACCACCATGACCACGTGTATATCATGCTTGCCAACACTGAACTCGTTTTTATCTATAAGTATACAGTTTTTTTGATTTCTGAAGCGAATGATTAACAAAACAAGCAACGTATGTTTCATAAATAATACATATTTGGAGGCTCACACTTACTTTTCTGGTTAGATTTTCACATAGAAGTGAAAATAATTTTCGCTGCAAGGTTCTTTCCATTCTGCAAACTACAAACATCTATTTGACGGCGATCGTCTACTGATTGGTTAATCTGCAAAAGGAGGCGGGGTCCACAAGCCGACAATCTCGTCAACAAAAACAGCTATTGCAACTGTTTGCCATAATAATTAAAGCACAAACATACAATATTCGTGTTTCGATAAACAAATTACATCATACGGATACCCGTTTTTAGTTAACAGGCATGTATGTAATTTGATTTCATACAGTTTCATCGATAGACAAAGCTTACGGAATCTTCGCCATTAATGAATATATGAATACATAATGAGGTCCTTACGGGGTTATCTGCCCCTGACAAAATCTTATCGAAATTGCCTTAACATCGCTGCGCGCTTTCTGAAATTTCATTTCCAAGAATACCTAACAAATATGACAAAACACTCTTATCTCGAAGAGTTAACCATTTTAGTATGCTGAAGTTTGACATTGCAATCATGTCCTTATAAAGCAGTGAAAATGATTCAGCGTCTGCTGAAATATTCTTCTTTTGTTTTCTGCCTATGCAGTTGCATAGTACAGTCATTGTTTCCGGTGGCATCATGTCCAACAATTTAAAAAGCAGACTTTCAATTTGACTCTTTGGTGTATTCAAAATTAGAACTTTCAAACTACCAGCATCAATATGTGGTTATATATTTTCTGTTTCAAATATGTTGCTGTCAAACTTGTTCTCTTATTCACCCCCCTCTATCAGGTCTATTAAATAACTGCCAAAAGGTTCTGCAACGTAAGGATCTTTCGATTCAAAAGTGGATTGACCAAAGTGATCTTTCATTTCAGTTGCACTGTTTTGAATGAGTTGATTATCATTTGTTGTGGTTTTCTTTTTATTTACAGGACCAATTAGGGATAAGTTATCCGCTCCAATCAAACCGCTTGAAGTTATCGGCTCTGTTGGTAAATTTGACACGGGCAGTTCAAACGTTTTCAAAGAACTCCATAAACTTACTTCTTGAGATGGATCATCAGATATATAGGTCTGGTAAGCAAAATCGGTATCATTTGACTGATTTATCCTGTTGCTGTGATTATTAAGTCTAGACTCTTACTGCTTGGGGTGCTAACCACGTTTCTTCTGGTATCAATGATAAGCTTTTCAGATTTTTAGGTACATCAGCGGCTGGATAAAATGATTCAACATCTGTCCAATGACTTTCATTCTGAGATATAGCATCAGGTATAATGGTCTGGTAAGCAAAATTAACATCATTTTTTGTCTGATAAGATTGTTGTTCTACTGGACTGCTTGTTATGTCATCATTTTTGTTGCATATTGATTTTATCCTGGTTTCTACTGGATCGAATAAAGCATCCTGTGTTTTCCGTTTTTTAGGACGACCTCTGTTTGGAAATTTTCTTGAATTACATATTTCACATTCTTCAGAATGTGGTACAAATGTTTTATGACTAAAATTAAGTTCTGAATTAATGTCTTTTTGTGTCTCTATATCTATACAAATTGCGAGAACAATTGTTACATATGAATTGTGGATGAACTTGTTCAGTTTCATTTTTAACATCTATTCTCATTAAAACAAAGATTTCTTCAGCAAATTTTATTTTATGGTAACGTTTTCTTTGGTTTATGCTTCCATTACATAGGCGACAGATATCTTTCAATATTTTCATGTGATATTTTTCAACAGCAGACATTGCAAATGTTTCTTAGTAGTACAAATGTAGCTAATGTAATAAATTGTCATTCTGATCAGCAAGAAGTGATAAAAAAAGTGGATTCAGGAAATTCATCTGAAAACAAAGTTGTAAACTTAAGGAAACACTCTGCACATTATAATGTTAAAAAACTGCATAATATGAAAAAATGTTTAAAAAGTTTTTAATGCAGCTGAATAAGGTAACTACTTCTTGAGCATGTTGTGAGTTACAGAATAAGGATTTCTCATGTTATTTACACTTTTTCAAATCTGATGTCTCATGTAATTTTTGACATGTGATCTGAAATCAATTTAGTAAACAAACGGGGAAAAAAGAGTTACTCTTTCAAAATCTAAATCAAATAACCTTCAGTTAAGCTTCTTTTGACCTTATGGTATATGGTTTTCTTTTATTTTTTTGTGCAGAACTTTAAAGATTTGATTTCAAACAGTCACTGACAGTTTTAAACACTTTTTTAACACAAATATATATTTATTGACTTAACATTGTGGCCTAAAATTCAAAAGGAATTCTCTACTCTTCTAACTACAATCAATTATTTAAGTCATGTTCATGTAAGTGTTGGAGTATGCATTTTAAAAATAAAACAAGCATTCTAAGAGTATTGCATAGCAATGCACAGTCCCCTACCAGTTAAGAATTCGTTGACCTAGGACAAAATGCTAATTTGATTTATAACTTGTTATGGTGTAAAATATATATCAAATATAAAGTCAATATCTTCAAACATGACAAGGGGACTGGGGATTAGAAGTATGGTCACCATTGGTCTTCCTCCGACCGGCAGTAAAACCCTTGCTAAAGTGGGGCGTCCGTTTGGCTGTGCGGGATGTAAAAATTTGCAGCCACGTCCGGTCAGAATGGGGACGTTAAATCCGATGCCTCGTGTAAAGAGAATGCCACGCTCTTTGCACGTTAAGAACCCTTGCAACAACTCTTTGAGGGGTCCGTAGGTGACCTGTTGCAAGGCTAAATTTCTGTCCCTATCCAATTTACCCTAATTTCCCGTGGCAGTCTAAATTTCTCCGGCCTTAATCCCTGACGCCGCTATTACAGAACCTACCTATTGTATTTATTGTTAATTTGTTCTCGTCCTGAATATGCATGAAATATTTGCCACTGGACGTTAAGCAACCAACAATCAATCAATCAATCAAACATGACAAAAAAGTGTGGAAAACTGATTATTTGAGTGAATTTTCTTAGTCCAAGGCCCAAAATCATCAGACCAGAACACACTTGAAACTTGATCTGCAACTTGTCATAATGAAAATATCAAATCAATATCTACAAGCACAAAGAAAAAAAGTGTGGTAAACTGATTGGCCTGACTGACTGATGGACAGACAGACCGACGGAGTGCACACCTAAGGTCCCCCTCGATTGTCGGTAGGGGGACTTATAAACATTAATCTATTTTTACCTCTCTTGTACTTCTTAATATTGAGATATTATAACTGGAATTAGGGGTTTGTGGTCTCAATTACCAAAGGAAATTTGGCACAGACTAAGTTAAGATATGTAAAACAAGAAAGCAAGGATACAATTAGCTCTTCGCAGCAAAATTGTAATACATTAAAACCCAGCTCAGGGTGTTAGTCTATTTAGAAGCAGAATCAGAAAAAATATCTCATTATTGTCGAGTCCTACATGTCCTAACTATGCCACTGGGCATTAAAAACCATCAATCATGTCGATTCATCAATTCTTTTATTTTAACTTACCATTTGTATCTTCTCTCATGATACAAACTAAAAATGTCAATTTCATTTTTTTTTTTTTTTTTATCAAAATCAGATGTTATTAAAGGATAAGAATTGGTTTGAAATTTGTATTACCATTGATAACACAGTCAAGTACAAAATATCACAGTCATTGACAGTGTTCTAGTATAAAGAACATACATGTAAGCACAAGGAGGATTTTACTTGTTTAAGTTTTTTTTTATCCATACTATTTCATAAATAGGTAAGTCATGCTAGTCATGACATAACTTTCTGTTCATTTTTTTTTAATTTCACTGATCTTGAAAGAACTTATCGATTATGTAATATACATGATATATATACATGTACGTATATTTGTTAAACATAGAGTAAATTATATATATACAATGTACAACGAGTTCTGATTGCCAATAAGAAATTTATATTTTCCTCTATGCTGGTTTCCCCCAAGGGTGACTGGGGAATAGAAGTATGGTCACCATTGGTCTTCCTCCGACCAGCAGTAAAACCCTTGCTAAAGTGGGGCGTCCGTTTGGCTGTGCGGGATGTACAAATTTGCAGCCACGTCCGGTCAGAATGGGGACGTTAAATCCGATGCCTCGTGTAAAGAGAGTGCCACGCTCTTTGCACGTTAAGAACCCTTGCAACAACTCTTTGAGGGGTCCGTAGGTGACCTGTTGCAAGGCTAAATTTCTGTCCCTATCCAGTATACCTTCATTTCCCGTGGCAGTCGAAATTTCTCCAACCTTAATCCCGGACGCCCCTCTTACAAAACCTACCTATTGTTAATTTGTTCTCGTTCTGTTTATGCATGAAATATTTGCCACTGGACGTTAAGCAACCAACAATCAATCAATCAATCCATGCTGGTTCAGCACATCTCTACATGAGAGTTTTCACTTTTATCTTTACATAATAAAAAGACATTTGAATATGCACAGCTGCTAAGTAAATTCCTTTAGAAGACTAGTCCTTCGATATTAGTTGTTCATCATTAAGTATATATACTTAAAATAATTGGTGTTCATGGTGTAGATAAATGCACAAGACTGGTGAAACATTCTAATTGACCTGAAAAACTTGTAATTTTTTTTTACTCAATACTTATACTTGAATTATTGAAGATAGTATTAACTTTCCTTTCATACATTGTTCATATGACTGTCAGGACCTGTTTCTTGACTAGTTCAATAAGTCTGATCAGTGATTTGCATTTCAGAAAAATTATATATTCATTAAGCATCACCTTGAAATAATTGGAATAGATAAATGCCCAAGACTGTTGATAAAATTGAGAATGGAAATCCTGCACCTGAAGGTAAGCATAAGCTGACCCCTAAATAAAAATGACCCCCAAGGGTGACTGGGGAATAGAAGTATGGTCACCATTGGTCTTCCTCCGACCGGCAGTAAAACCCTTGCTAAAGTGGGGCGTCCGTTTGGCTGTGCGGGATGTACAAATTTGCAGCCACGTCCGGTCAGAATGGGGACGTTAAATCTGATGCCTCGTGTTTAGATAGTGCTACGCTCTTTGCACGTTAAGAACCCTTGCAACAACTCTTTGAGGGGTCCGTAGGTGACCTGTTGCAAGGCTAAATTTCCGTCTCTATCCAATATACCCTCATTTCCCGTGGCAGTCTAAATTTCTCCGACCTTTATCCCGGACGCCCCTATTACAGAGCCTACCTTTTGTATTTATTGTTAATTTGTTCTCGTAAAGAGTTTGAAGAGACGTGATAAATGATTGATTGTTGGTTGCTTAACGTCCAGTGGCAAATATTTTATGCATGTTCAGGACGTGAAC